AACCTAGGAAGCAGCCTGCATGGAACAGCATGGTATGCTTGAGAGTGTCACTGTCAGCTACTGTAAGTTTCCAGTACTGACATTGCTTTAGAATCCTGTTTCAGCTTTTCTATGGATCTTCTATACTGTTTCTTGTAAGTGAATCCTATCTGACAAATTATCTATAAAGCAATCACACTTTCCACAATTAGCTTAGTCTAAACATATTCCATTGCCTATAAAATACTAGTCAATCAGTATCCGCTAGCTTTATATGCATGTGGGAGAAACTAATGTTTATTTTAAAAAATACTATGTCTTAATGCTCCATCCATAATGTTACTTACATGTTGTATATTGTGAGCTGTTCAGAGATGGGGACTGTGACTTACTCCATGTGGCAGGCAATGAGATACCTAGGTAACTGGAATATGAGAATGAAGATTTGACTAGCAAAGATTTAAGCACCAATTGAACAAGTTTTGAGAGTCAAATGTCAAGTAAAATACTGATATTTGTAATTTGTTGGCAAGTTTATATATGTTTTTGTATAAGTTATCTTAGTAAGTCATAGCTATCCCAACTCCCTTCTCAAATATCAAGTTTTAATGTATTTTTCTAAAAGTAAGTTGCTTTTTCTTTAGTTAAAAAATATAGGTAGACGTACATGTCTGGATGCTGGTGAAAATAACCATGGTGGCAAGCCATTAATTATGTATGCTTGTCATGGACTTGGTGGAAATCAGGTAAAATATTATATGTATTTAATTTCTTACATAACTGGTATTTACCACTTTGACATGCCTGCATGTAAAACTCTTTGACATCAGGTAATATTAATATGCATTTCTTGGTATGCTGACATTCAGTGGTTTTTATCACCTGTGTTAAGGGTTAGCAATCATTTGGAGCGACAGGTTAGGTGTTTGCAACCTTGCCACTGTAGGCTGCTGATCCCCTGTCTCCACCCCTAATTCCCACTCTGCTCTTTCCCCTTCTCCTTATTGGATGATGTCAATAGCCTGATGAACACCAATGCAGAACAGCAAATTTAGTGGCAAAGGCACAGAAAAGGAGACTTTTTAACAGAGCTGCTTTAATGTGGTCCTGTAAATCAGCATCCACCTCCCCCTTACCCACTGCTCCCCCATCCCTGTACTGAATTAGATCTTTGCAAACTGGATCCAAACTCTTTGCAGGGCAGATCAGGCTTGTAGGCTGCAGGTTGCTGACCTCTGACCTATATTATTTCTGCATGAGAGGATGGTAAAATACAGCATGCATGGAACAGGTTTTATACTGCATAAAATACTGCTGTCCAGATCTTCCAAAGTACTCACACAGATGGTATGTGCAGATAGCTTTGCACACAAACACTCATATGAATAGTTGCAAATGAGAAACTGCATGCATGTATCAGAGTATTTGCACACTGCATGCAAAAATTTGTTGTAATAGAGAAGTAGTTTGATATTGTATTGATTGAAAGAAATACCTCAGATAGCTGCTGGTGTCTTTGCCTATAATGACAGTGTCTAGTATAATTACATGCTGTATTATGCAGGATTCATTTTTTTTAAGCCTACAAAATTGTTGGTACAATTTTATAGTGTAACTGTATTCTCAGGAAGAGTTCAACTTCAATTTCCAACTCTGGGCTACTGAATAAGCTTGCCCCTAGGGCAGTGTACAGAGGCAGTTGGATGCAAAATTTTGCTGGACATATGAACAAACTGCACAGAATAGGCTTCTCAGCCACATGATGCCAGTTCACTGTTCTGTCATGCAACCTGCAGTTCTTCCTCACTTGACCTCTCTTCTCTGCTACAGGAACATTTATTTTCCTCACTTTTTCTTTGTAAGTTTTGACACTTTCACCTTATTCCTTCTCTTATTGCTTCTTTCTTTGTCACCAGGTCTCATGGTTTCAAGGAGGGTACAAGTGGAAATCTTATTAGGGAGTGACCAACCTGGCAGGCCTAAGCTACATGCTCTGTTGTGCTTGCAGTCTCACAGTGGGAAGTCAGAGTAGTTTGCCTTAAGCCACTAAAAATCTAGCATTTTGAGAAATATAATACTTAAAATCACTGACTTGCTCCAAGACGCATGGCTTTTGGGAGCAGGGATGTATGTTTGTATAATATCAAGTGAAATGCATTGCAAGTATTTGTTGAATAGGTACCACTGTACTAAAAACAGTAGTATAACTGTTTAGTTATCCTTTAAGCAAAATTGATTAATAAAAGGCATCCTAAATGACAACTTTATTTTGGGGCCTGATGGTTTGTATCCTTTTTCTAGTTTTCAGTTAAATCACTGAGTGTTATCTGTGGTATGTACCATTGTAATACATAGGTGTTTTACACATCTCAGTTGAAATCAGAGTAGCCTAGATGCTCAGCTGTAGATCTGTTAGCTGCCTTGGTATGTGAGGCTTATTTATTGAACAGCAGTTTCCTTTGGAATTTATTTGCTGCGTTACTTGATGGTTTATAATACCATAAAAATGCTTTACACAAGTATTAGTCCATAGGCTTTGAATTAAAGGTAGATATAGTAGCATATACTGCTACTATATCTACCTTTACCAGCTTATCTTGTATATTTTTGTTGTATTTCCTTTTTTGTATTCTGCAGTAATATTTTGGCTTTATTAGTATTCTGCAGATATCTACATTTACTATAGATGGTTCTAGTAGCAACTTGCTTTTTAAAATTCCTTGATGATTTCCATTATATTACCCTCCCTTTGGCTGCTAATAAATTTTCCTAAACTTTAAGGGTTTCTGTGTCTCCAGACTGAATTTTCCATTAGAAACTTCAGTCAAGATGGATCAGCTGATTTGAAAACAAAGCTATGGAAAATGCTTGCTATCTTTAGCCTCTCCCTGGTTTGGAATGTAAACTCTAATTATTTGTGATGCGTGTTGCAGGTTGCCATTCTTATGAAAATCCAAATCTGGCCAAGTTATGAATCTCTAAAAATCTCAGTTAAGCACATGCCTAGCAGAGATGTTGGTTTGACAAGTTAAATTTTATTGCTATTCAGGGAAATCCCTCTGGTATAATCAGTGCTTCTACTGCAAATTCGGCAGTGAGGAGGATGGAAGAAGATGACCAACTGGGATACAGATGTGTGGAGGTGGAAATGAGTGTAGCACCAAGTGGAAGCCTTGGGAGGGAAGAAGGAAGGACTGGGATGAATAGATCAAGGAAGGGATTTGTGTGGGAAAACTAATAGACTCAAGAAGATGGGAGGAATACTGTGACTGGAACAAGGATGCTGGGGAAAAGTCAGAGGCAGAAAGCGTCAGGCTCGTAGCCACAGAATTGCAAGGGATGCATTTAATTGTTCTAGTTGCTTAGTTTCTACTGAAATATGTATAAATATATTTTTAAATTATTTAATTAGTATTTTGAATACTCTGCACATCATGAAATTCGACACAACATTCAGAAGGAGCTCTGCCTGTATGCTTCTCAAGGCGCAGTACAGCTTCAGGACTGTAGCTACAAAGGCCAAAAAACATTCACCCCAGGAGAAGAGAAATGGGAGCTTCAGAAGGTATTTACCTAAGCAGTTTATGCAATAAATAAATGTACAGGTCTGGTAGCTGAAGAAAAGATTTTTCAACTAGAATGCGAGTGCGTGCATTGCGCACACACTCGTGCGCGCACGAGTTGAAAAATCTTTTCTTCAGGTACCAGACCTGTACACTTACATTTGTATATATATTTACATTTTATAATTAAAGGGGTGGCTCTGCTCTGGGAAAAAGGCTTAGAGATGTCCTTAGCGTTAGGTTACAGCTTTAAATTAAAGTACAGCTCAATCTGATAGCAGTGGTTCCCAACATTTTTAGACTACAGACTGGCAGACCGGAAGTGACCGTGGACCGGCATACTGTGGGCCGGCAGCCAACCCGTTTTTATACTCAGTATTCTGAGTATAAAAAAGGGTTAGCAGCCGGCCCGCAGTGTGTCGGTCACTTCCGAATTTCTGGTCCGCCAGTCAACCCTTTACCAGGCTGTGGCCCAGGGGTTGTGAATCTCTGGTATACAGTAGCAACTGTAAAATGAGACCCTTTGTCCAGGTAATAGTAGAGAAATGTCCCCATCACAAAAAGAATAGAAAATGGAGCCAGTTTGTATGCTTATTGAGCACTTTAGGCAGAAGGTTTTATAGATTAAATGGGTATAGAGAACATATTTTCCTCTTGCAGAAGTGGTTCCTTCCTGTCATGACTAGCGTAAATTTGTGGAACAGTGTTGGGTAGTTTGCAGTGCCAACTTTATGGTCCTGTACCTGTCATAGGAATAAGGCTTCGGTCTCAGTGCTACTACCTGTTAATTCTTAATCCAAAAATCTAGAATTAAATTAACAAAATTTATATATATTTTAAAAACCTTACTGATGTGCTGTGTTTTTTTCCTTTTTAGGATCAACTGTTATATAATGCAGCATTAAATATGTGCCTTACAGGAAATGGAGAACATCCAAGCTTGGTATCATGTAATCCATCAGATTTGTTCCAAAAATGGATTTTTGGCCAAAACATTTGAATACTTCATGCAACAAGAAATATATTTTTTAAATACTTTAAAACTGTGACCATATATTATACACTACAATTTGTTAAAAATAATGCAAAGCCAGCTGATGTAAAAGATATCAAAACACTTTTTTATGTAAAGAAAAACATAAAACTTCAAAGCTCCCTTTAAAGTTGTATTTAGATTATAATAAAAACACCAAAGAATTTTGTGACGTCTCAGCAGTTGGGGAAAAAATGTTTACAATTTGTTGGAAATAATTTCCTTCATACGATTTTTTAATGTTAACTAACTACTGATTTACAGATGTTGTAGACTCATCTCTTTTGGAGAGAGTGTAGGGTTTTTTTTGTTTTGTTCTGTTTTTTAATTTATGCATTCCCATTTTGTAATTACTTCAGAAAAACTGGTCCATAAGATTAGGGGGAAGTTATCTTGCACAGTGTCTTAAAACTGAGGTGCCTTTATAAATGGTGGTTATGGGGTTTTTTAGTACTTGCTTGACTTAATTATCTGCTGAAATTCACTTTCCTTTAAATGAATCTGAAGAAAGAAAAACTAAAAATATCCTTAATCTTCCTTTAATTTCTTATATACGTCAATGAAATAGAAATATTTGGATTCTAAAAGTAAAGCCAAATGGAAAATCCGGTTGTCCTTTGGGGCAAATTCAGGAATGGTTCAACTGCACTCCCCTTTGGCTGTGCTCTCTATGCACGGTGAGCTCCAAGAGCTCACCAACACTTCATCACAGCTCCTGCAAGAAGTGCCGCATGGGTAGTGAGCTGGTTGGTATGGATTCTGCCCAGAGTCTATGCTTTCAAGCTGCTCTGGAGACTCCTGCTCTTCATTCTCCCTTTCCCTCTCCTTCACCTGCTGAATTCAGCAGTAGGAGAAATGAGGGGAAGTGAGGCCAGAGACATGTAATCTCTGCTTTAATTTGTCTCCAGAGCCTCCAAGCTGCCTCTGCTCACTGCTCATCCTCCCTGCTGTTGAATTCAGCATGAGTGGGGAAGGAAAGAGTGAAGAGCTGATTGAAAGCAGGGACTCCAGGTAGAGTCTGCTCTGGTGAGTTCAGAGCTCCAGTAGGAGCTGCTGAGAACTCACTGGTATCCAGAATCGCAGCAAGGGGCTCCAACTACATCCCCTTCCGCTGTGTGGCACATGTGCAATGAGCTTTCTTCACTACACTTGTGCCCTGCTCTTGAATGAGGTGTGGACACGATGCCATTGCTGCAATCCTTGATCCACCCATGGTTGTCCTGATGATAACAAAATCACAAAAGAGCAATAGTAAGTTAATCTTTTACTTTTTTCGTTGCGTGTCCAAAACATTACTGTTTTTTCTGGCATTACATTTTGTCATTTGCAAAATATGAAATGATCTGTTAGCATTTTTGTTCATTACCTCCCTTCTTCATTTTTGTGCTATCAACAAAGGTTAATTATTTGTTTGCCTTTTCAAGTGATTTGTATAGTACATTGTGCATATATGTAATTCCTTTTATGTTTCTCTTTCAAATGTTTGACTTAGCTTTTAATCGTTCAGGAGAAGTTTGTTCTTCAACTGTAATATAGAATTTTATAATGAAATGGTATAAGTTAACAGAAAAATAAATTAATTCATAAGTATGCTTCGGTAATGTTATCCAAGCAAGAGTTTTTGTCTTACAGATATATATGGAAAAACATGCTTTAACACATGTTAGCTGATTTTAATGTGCATTGAAGTGTCACGCTGGAATTCCAGCATATTGCAGCAGACTTGATTAATCAAGTTTGCTGGAGCACAGTCATGCTTTAGCAGCCTCCTGCATCCTGTATATTAGCATCCCTGCACTTAAAAATGGTGGCAGGAGCACTTGAACTAAAGCTTGTCAAACAAAATTTAGTTTAAATGCCCCCACTGTCATCTTGAACCGCGGGGATGCTGATACAGGACATACAGCAGTGCTTTAATTAGAGCGGCTTTGAGGGGTGGTACTTCTTTAATATTTTGCTCAGATAATAATATAAGAAGTGCTATAGTGGGTTAGACCAATGGTCCATCTAGCCCAGTATCCTTCTCTGATAATGGCAGAAGTGGATACTAAAGGGAGAGCGCTCAACTGGATAGATCTGAAGTGGTCTATCCCCTATCCATTACCCTCCCTAGCATTCACCATTATTGGTTTAGAGTTGCCAAAGGAAATACCTCCAGCTGTTTCATTCAACAGCTCTTAATAGATCTACAAGGGGTGATCAAAAAATTCTAAGACTTAGCCTTTATTTTAAAGAATAGTGTACAAACAACATTTTTATGAGCTGTCCCCTTCAAAGTAATCTCCCCCAGATGATATGCACTTGTCCCAACGTTCCTGCCACTTTCGGAAGCAATGGTGCAAGTCTTCAACTGTGAGTTCTTTGAGTTCCGCTTTCACATTCTTGTGGATGGTTGGAATGTCATCAAGTCTCCTTCCTTTCAGCTTCACTTTGATTTTTGGGAACAGAAAAAGATCACATGGGGGCAAGGTCGGGTAAATAGGGAGGGGGTGGTATCACAGGAATGTGGGGGTTTTTTTGGTGGGTTTTTTTTTTTTAACCAAAAATTTTTGAATGCAGACAGCAGTGTGTGAAGGAGCATTGTCATGGTGCAGAAACCATCGACCATTTTCACACAGCTTGCGGCAGTTTCTTTTAACTTTATCCCTCAATCGAGTCAAAACCTCTTTATAAAAGGCCTTATTGATTGTTTGACCACTTGGTATAAATTCCTGATGAACAATACCCCGAACATCAAGTCTTAGAACTTTTTGATCAAACCACGTATATCCATGAGTTTGTCTGGTCCCCTCTTTGAATCTGGCTCTACTATCTGTTTCTACCATCTCTTGTGGCAGGTTCTACCACCTCCTGTGGAGTGAATTCCGCAAGTTAATTAAGCATTGCATTAAAAAGTATTTTCTCGTGTTAGTTTTAAGCTTCTCTCCACCTAACTTCAGTGGGTGCCCCCTCAGTCCTAGTATTCTGGAATTTTGTGAACAGCAGTTTTCTATTCACTCTGTACATTTCATGACTTTACAGACCTTTCTATATCTCCTCTTAGCTTTCTCCTTTCCAAACTGAAGAATTTTAGTCTTTTTAGTCTTTCCTAGTGTGGTGAATCTATCCGTACCCCTGATTATTCCCATCCTCTGTACCTTTTCTGGTTCTACTACATCCTTTTTGAGATGTGGAAACCAGAATTGCACATAGTATTCAAGATGTGGGCTCACCATGGATAGGAATAGTGGCATGATAATGTTCCCTGTTTGTTTTTCTTCATGTTGCCCAGCATATTTTATTGGCTTTTTGGGTTGCTGCTGTAAACTTGAGCTGACATTTTTAGAGAACTATCTACAATGACTCTAGGATCTCTTTCCTGAGTTGCAATAGCTAGGTCAGAACCCAGAATTGTGTGTATGAAGTTGAGGTTATTTTTCTCCATGTGCAGTTGCTTCCTCTTGCCAGCATTGAAATTTATCCGCCATTTTTCTGCCCACTCACTTAGCTTGATGAGATCTCTTCTGTAAGTCTTCTGTCGGTCTGAAACTTGACTACCTGAAATAATTTGGTATCATCTGCAAACTTGGAGATTTCGCTGTGCCTGTTTGCAGGCCATTGATGAAAATGTTGACTAATTAAATTAGGCCCCTGTGAGACCCCACTGCTGACCCCCTTCTCCATCCTGAAAAGTGACCATTTTAGCTCTTGCCCTTTGCTTCCTAGCTTTTTAACCAGCCCTTCTGGTTCATGAAAGAACCACCCTTCCAGTCCCATAGTAACACAAGTTTTTTTTGTTGGGGGGGGGGGGGAGGAGGGGGACTTGAGGTCTTTGGGGAAGGACCTCATTAAAAGCTTTTGAAAGCCCAAATATATTATGTCAGCTGCATCCCCTTGTCCATGTGCTTGCTGACACCCTCAAAGAACTAAAACTATATTGAACTCACTTCAGGTACATTGCTCTTATTCTGGGAAATAAGACACTGAGAATATGTGAAAATTATATGTGAATTTGTAAAATCAATCTGGTTCTTCCTGAGTAATCTGTAATATTTGCTTAAAACTAATATTTTAGTGAACATCCCTGTCAGTGAATATTTATTAGAATATTCAAAAGGAATAGACATTTTAAAAATTCAGAAAACCTGCTCCCTATGGGGTGGGGGCGGGTCTCTTTCCCTGCCCCCGCCCCACCCCGCCCTGCCCCCTTCCTCTTCACTGGAGAGGCAAGCAAAGGCTATGACATGGGAAAGCAATCATGTACAGGGAGATAGTTATCTTGGAGTTTAAGACTCCTATTTCCTCCCTCTTTCTCCCCCCCCCCCCCCCCCCC